GGGGTTCCCCTGGTAAAATTCGCATTCCAGGGGATAAATATCACGTTAATGGGGTCGTTTTTTAACCCGCGGACATGAAAAACGACCCGCGGCAACAGTGTTAAAGCAGCCCAATTCCGCGGGAAAACCGCGGACTTGGCAATACTGGAAGAGGATAGCTTTCGGATAGCGCTTCAAGAACCGGGTTGACCGGGTACATTTACATTTACATTTACATTTACATTTAGTCATTTTGCTGAAGCTTTTATCCAAAGCGACTTACAATTGGGGGATACATAAAGCGATTCTTCGTAAAGAGGCAAACAGATACAGGAAGTGCTCGTAATACCAAGTTTCTAGACATTGTTCAAATAAGTACAAGCTAGAAAGAGAAGGAATACATTTTTTTTTAATTTTTTTTTTTATAATGATGATGATGAAGTCAAGTAGCTACGAAAGAGTACTCGGTACTCGGTACCACCGGTACTTAAAAAAACCTGGTACGTAACGTTTTCATTTTTTTAGTACCGACTTGGTACCGAAATACCGGGTCTTTTGACAACATTAATTGGGTTGTTCTTTTTCATGTTTTCTGGGTTGGTAGATGCACCAGGGACACAATTATAGCAATTAAACATGGAAAAAGTCAGATTTTAATGATATGTCACCTTTTTTCAAAATGATAATAGTTCAAACTATCTGTTTGTTTCATGAAACTATTTGTCCCACTTTACCTGATGTCTCACTTTTACTGAACTCACCCTATTTGTGTGACAAGTCAAATGTTCAGATCTGTTTACCATTGAGAAGAATTAGCTTGAAAGATAATTTGTGGTTAAGTTTAGAAAACATAGTTATTTATGGCCAGTTCATTTAGCATTCCACAGGCACACACTTCAAAAAGATATATATAATAGAGAAACTGGACCATGCTGAAAAAGAGTTTGTGACCCTACGTAAAACAATCTGAGACCTCCAGCTAGCCTTTGAGAACGTACTTTAATTGAAATTGATTTAAAATAAAGCCAAATGGGGAGCTGGGTGAATGGTTTATCAGGCATGTGTTGTTAAGCATATAATAAATTGTATTTATATTAATTTAAAAAATCTATTTTTATTTCAACTGAACTGATTACTTAATTATTGTGTCATTTAATATATAAATTATCTTATCATAATGGGATTAGGCAACGCTAATTTTATTATAGTCTGAAAGTAAATTATTTAACTATGTTTTTTTTCTTTGGTCATATGGGACGATTTGCAGTTCCTTTTCACAATTATAACTCTTTAATTAATTGTATAACCATACTTTAATTATAATTTACTCTCTTGAGGCGTGATGTGGGCTTTGCATTGCACTTTACTATTATGATGAAGCCCAAAGCAGGTCTCAACATTGGCACCCAGAATAATCGCCACAATTGATTATGCAATGAGTACAGCATGCTCTCCTGATTAAAATATATCTTATAAGCATTAGCATGACAGTAATTGATTTCACTGAGGCTTTGTATTAAAGAGAAGGTGTCAGTAATGCTGCTGCAAGGGAAATTAATTTCTTAGTGGCCTCAAGGTCTCTACTACCCACCCAGACCTGGAGACAGGAGAGGATGCTGTGGCAGAAGTCAAGCTCAATTCAGCTTCAGAGGGTGTTGCAGACAGATCTGAACTCCGGCCCGAGCTGGCCCCATTTTCCTGCTACAGGGAACTGAGCTGTCTGGCACATCAACACTGCGACAAATACGGCTCTCCCCTGTCTCCTCTCATTAAATATTGCCATGTATAAACAAACACACAACCCCTCCTTCCCAAACACACTCAGGTATAGACATCCTGTCACCGGGGAGAACAGGAGAACTTATTAAACCCTCTCCACAGGTATAATATGCGCCGCAAACTTGCTTAGAGAGCAATCGCAGCCAGCTGAGAATTTGAATGACAGACTTTTGAACTGCCATCTTCAGAATATTGAAAGATTACCTGCAATACAAATGGGTGCTTTTGTAAACTGGAAATATTGTATAGGTGGCCTACTAGCCTTCATTCTGATTCTTATTCCCTATACAGTATAACGATCCTCTTGCCCTCATTCAGAGAGGGCAGAGAAAGTTAATTTCCAGAAATCTCATAAAAGGAAAGTCACCCTTACAGCAATAAAGAGAAGCATAAATTGAAATGAACATTACTTCCCTTCACATTTCTATTGGGTATAGAGACTGCCCCAAGAGATATGCACACTATTTTGGTCTGTTCAAAGAGAAAACTTAATCAATCCGTACATTGTTAATAAAGTACAGAAGAGTCAAGGAAATGTTACAGTACATTGATCCATTT